GAAAAATGGGCAAAGAACATGAATAGAAGATTTCCAAAAGGGAAATAAATGATGTGCACAGAGACCTCCCCTAAGCCCCCACATCTGTCCCCGGCCTTCAGGCTGCTGTACTTGGAATAAAGGGGTTTGGCTTTTGATCCCCAGAGGGCACGGCTGAGGCAAAGGCCCACCCAGAGGATGTCCACTCATTAAATCAGCCCTTCAGAGGCCTCACATCTGGCAGAATCTTTGCTTTAGAGTAAAGGCCCTTTGCAAAACTCAACAGCAGCTCTGCTATGAGAGGAACGGGGGAGAGGAGAGGCCTCCACTCGGGTGCATTCCAGCCTACGCAGCCCCTCAGTGGCCGCAGTGGTCCCTGAGGAGGGCAGAAGCAGCCTCCTTCTGGGTCAGATGCCACCCCCTCCCATCGGGAAGCAGCCCTACCCCCAGGCACTGCCCCTGGCCAGAGCCAGGTTGATCCAGTGTGCCACAGGCCAGATATGGACACAAAGGGTCTGGGCCGAAACATTAGCAAGCTGTCATGACCCAAGAGGCCAGTGGGATCTGCCTGCCACCCTTGTAAGTGACCTACACTGTCAATTGTTAGGCTGTGGGCCTCGGATCCGCTGGTAATTATCACGGGTTATATAACTGTCCTTATTAAGGAGTGCTGCACGGTGGCAGGGTCGGACTCAGATAGGCTTGAGCTCAACTTCTGCCTCTGAGACGTACTCGCCTGTGCTTTTGAGGAAGTCCCTCCACCTCTCTGAGCTTTGGTTTCCTCATCTGTACAATGAGGGATGATGAGGCCTTCCTTGAAGAGCTGGTGCTCCAGACTGAATCAGTAAGTAAAGGACCCGACACAGCACCTGGTCATTAGGAGAGAGGCCCCCTGAACACGCCAGCTCCTACTGACCACCTCTAGGTCCACAAATTCCATGGCGGAAGTGGGTGTTTGAATGATTCCTGGCCAGGAAACATTAGAACCAACAGAGGCTTCACACGCTCTCAACCCATCAGTCATGCGAACACCTGAACATCAGCAGGACCCTGCTTATTGCCCATCAACAGCAAGAATGTTCACACAGGTGCTGGCACTGCAACCACAGTCTATTGCGGGCCCTAGACTCACCCACAGGTGCTTCTTAACAGAGCCACCTCCTGTCCTCCACTGCCACCCCACCCCTAGAACTCCTGTGACTGCCCTATCCTGCCCTTCACCACTGCCCCACCTACCCAAATAAACGTACCATAGACATCTGAGGGTAGGAAGGGCTGACAGATCCTATGATGGGATGGCAGAGTTGGGGGTGGGGGCCCAATGAGTTGGTATTCTGCCCACATTCTGCAACTTCAAGGGCTGTCAGGCTAGACGGGCTCTTCAAAGACATCCAGTCTCTCCCTCACCTGAGTCATGAATACAGCACTGCACGTACCCGACACCACTCCCATCCAAGTCACCGTCGGCTCTCACTCCTTACTGGTCTCCTCAATTCCATCCTGTCCCCCTGCAGTCTACGTCCAACATAGTAAGTAGCTTGTGATCCTGTTAAAACAGAAATCAGATCGTCTGCTTAGAACCCACTAACAGGACCCCGTTTCATGAGTAAAATGCAGACTTCTTAACAATAGCCCATGAGCCCTGGATACTCTTGTCCCTCTGTAACCTCTGATTTCCTGTCCTCCTATTCCCTGCTTTGACCACTCAGTCCCACCATACTGACACCCTGGTGTTCCTCCAACACACCAGACATGCTCCTCCAGGGCCTTTGCATTCACTGTTTGTTCAGCCAGGAACACACTTCCCCAGATGCCCACATGGCTCACTTGCTCACCTCCTTCAAATCTCTGCTCAAATATCACCCTGTTTACATGGCAACATCTCTTCTCACCCTGCCAGGACTCTGTTTCCCTTATACTGCTCACAACTAACATTCTCTGTCATCTACTCAGTATGCTTACTGTCTGGCTCCCCCCACCAGGGTGTCAGCGCACAGGCAGGGACGTGGCACCTGACCGCAGCAGGCACTTGGCAAGTATTGGCCTGACAAGAAGGAACGGAGCTGACCTCCACCTCCCTGCAGCCTGTCCTGCAGGACCCAACTCTGCACACTCGGGTATGCAGAAACCTCCTTCAGGACCATGTAAATGGGGTGGCATTTGGGCAATGGTTTGAAGGAAGTGAGCCCAGCCTCTTTGCTCTTTGGTGAAGGTCCCGCATTTTTATCCACTTGCTCCTCACCTGCCAGCTTTCTCTCCTCGAGACGTAACTCGTCGGCATCCCCTTAGAAGTCAGAGTACAGATCTGAGCCAGGTAAAAATTTGGGGAGGTTAACAGAGGGGAAAGGGAGAAATGTGGGGAGGAAAGAAACGAAACAAAGATCCAAGGAAGAGGGACCTGTTGGGTTTCATTTGTACTGGCCATCTGATATTCGGACAGCTCTGCCAAGAAGCCCTTACTTCCACCTGCCTCCCACCAAGCAGTTTAACACACAGCCTGATAATCCTCAGGACCCATTTTCCAGAGGAATCTACCGAGGGGAGAGTCTACACAGGTGAGCACTAGATCTAGGACACATGACAGTAGGCTTGGCTGGTGGGAGAGGGGGTTGAACGCCAGCTAAAGACTATGCGCACCCCCCACCCCCAATAGTGAGCAGCTATTATTTCCGGCTCTTATCGCACACCTGAGCAGGGAGGCCAGTCCATAGCAGGAGCCCAGGGCTGAAAGGAGAATGAGACAGCACTGGAGACCTTGGAGACTCCAATGATAGAAGGGTCTAGAAGGATCTAATGGAAACAAAGCCTGCCAGTGCCAGATACAGTGAATTTGAGGTGAGGAAGTGCTGTTCATGGTCAGCAGGGGACTAAGAGAAAAGAGGCTTCTGCAGGATTGCAGGACCATGCAGGCCCCCAGGATTACCGTGTAGCTCAGGTGAGCATCCCCCTCTGTTCTGCTTTGAACCTGGCAGATGTGACTCAGTGCTGGCTTTTACCACGGAATTCACTCTGCATTTCCAGCCCCCATTTCAGCAGGGGATGGCATCTCGCTCAAGCCAAAGTCTGATTAGCTGGAGAAACCAGCATGTCACTGTGCCCTGGGAATATTAAATAATATTTACAAGGGGATGACGTTGGGAAAATAATTACTGATGGTTAGAGGCAATCAGTGGCAGGGAACTCCTCCACTGCTCAAGTGGTGAGAAATTAGATGGAACGAGGCTCAGAGCAGCAAGGGTTTGTCATGGGGTTGGAAAGTCACTACCTCTGCTGATTCTGTTAATAGGATAAACCAGCCTTGCAAATAAGAGCCAGACCCCAGGAGGCCTGCATTTCAGGAGATTTTAAAATCAGGCCAGGTCCTGCCAATAGCTTCACTTTTAAATGTGTTAGAACTGGAGGGAGCTTAGAAATCAGCGACACCACTGGTTCTCAGTTTCAAAGGATTCTGCCTTCCAGAAATACTGCAAGTATTAAGTAATAATTAATTTGTTTTCACATTTTTTATTCATCAAAGACACATAGAGGACTGCTGGCTGGGACAAGCAGAAGACTTAAAGTTGATGTCACTCCAGCCCCAAACAAAAGAGACCTATATAGTTTTTTGTTAGCCCAGCCATTCTATTCTGTGTAAACGTAAGGTTTCCCTTTAGAAAAAAAATGAGTCAATTTTTAAATCCCAAGGAAACCTGGAAAACCTATATCAGAAACCCTGAATCCAAGCCAACTCTCTTATTTTATGCAGAGACTGAGGCCCAGAGAACACAAGCGGCTTGCTCGAGGTCACACAGCTGACTGTCAGCAGGGCCAAGGCTACGCCTGGGTGCAGGGTGGAGGGCAAGGCTGCCTGGACATACAAGGGCAGTGCAGGAGTAAAGCTGTGAACACGGCGGCAGCAAGTGGGCTGTGCACACCAGTGGGCATGGGCTTGACTCTATCCTCAATATGCACCACCTTTGTGATGCTGGCAAAATGATGTAAGCTCTCTGAGCCCATTTTCATATCAGTACAACGGGGATGATTATAAAACTTACCACATACTGTTGTGAGGATTCAGTGAAATAACAGAACAGAGCACTTAGTAAAACAGCAGCTACTTTTGTTTAACCCATTTAAGTGTATGTGTTTGGGAGGTGTGTGTGTCTGTGTAGACACAGGAATACTGACAAGCTTGGGGAACAAGGTCATATGACCCAACCTCCAGATGCTGCCCTGACAATGCCAGTGGAAGACAAATTCTGTCCCAGTGGACTCTAGTACCAATTGCAGTGCTGTTACTTCTAGGTAATGTCACTCAAAACTGAGTGTGCCTCAGAACCCATGCCCCATCTGAAGCCCTGCAGGGTGGGGGAACTTCAGGTGTTGAGATGTAATTTACATACCATAAAATTCACCATTTTAAAGTGTGCTCTTTCAGTAGCTTTTAGTACATACATAAGGTTGTACAACCGTCACCACCATCTAATTCCAGGACATTTTCATCACCTCCAAAAGAAAACCTAGGCCCATTAGCAGTCAATCCCCATCCCCTACTCTCCCATCCTCTGACACCTGCTGATCTACTTTCCATCTCTCTGGATTTGCCTATTCTGGACATGTCACATGAAGGAAATCACATAACATGTGGTCTTTGTGTCTAGCTTCTCTCACTTTGCACAATGTTTCCAGGGTTCATCCATGTTGCAGCATGTATCTAGACTTCATTCCTTAGAATCTGCACTTTAAAAAGGCTCCCCAGGTAGTTTTGATGAGTGGGCTTTGAGGAGGAAAAGAGTAAATTCATACAAGGTGAGACTTCTGATTATTGTAAAGATACAGGGCCTCATCCCTTCTTCCGGGCATGCCTGTCTCAGGTGCCTTGCTGGGAACAGGAGACAATCCTGGCTGCTTGCCTCCTCCAGGAAAAACAGAGATTGCACAAGGCCTCCCGGACACTCTGTAGGAAGATGTTCGTCTATAGACAGTGGCATGGCTGCTCTGGGAACTGGACAGATTAACTAAGAGAGATTCACACAAAAGGATTTAGTCTCAACTCAAAGACTTTAATATACATTATACTCTTGGAAAAAGATCTACAAGGAAACAAAGGGAACCAAAAGTCTTAACCAGCAGGGATTCTCATTCAAAAACCTAGTGTAACCCCTGCCTTGGAAAAGGGTGGCACAGGGACTGTGATCATAGTACAACAGTTTGAGGTCAGGATGGCAGGGCCCGTGTGCCTGTCTAGAGATGGAACTCTGCCCACACAGCATGATGGGCATGCCCTCAGGACTCCTGGGAAACCAGAAGCACCACTACTCCGGTGACTGACAATTCCATAGCAGGGCTGGGAAGATTTAGGTTAACCAGGTCATCTCCAGCACTCAGAAGAAAAGGCACAAAAACTTCAACAGGGCCTAAGAAGCCTACTCAGGGCTTTCTTTTTGCTGTTGAATTTCCAGGTCATCAGAAACAGTCATAGTGGCTCTGGTGAGGAATTGGGACTTGTGGGAGGGTTGCCAGGTCCCACTTCTGGGTCTGAGGCCTCAGAATGAAAAAGATGGGAGGTGACAGTACCAGCAAGGCCCCTGAGGTCAGGGCCACACCACTCCTAAGAGATTACCCACTGGGGCCTCTGAACAGAATGGGATAGAGATGGAGAAAGCTACCGCTGACCACTTGTCAGACAACCCAACTGTCTTCCTTGTTTCCCCCTTCCCAATCTGGGACTCCAGAGAGGTCACAGCCTGAGTTTCCCATCCATGTACTGCCATTCAACAAGGGGCAGGCAGAAATTCTGGCTCATCTCTCCCTCACTCTCAATTTAACATCAAAAAAGTCACAACTGACATCTTACAACCCCCGGGCAGTCCAGGGTTTCTTGTTTTCTAACATCCTATGGAATAAACAATTGGTTCTCTTGGACCTTTGCTTCAATTTCTTCTCATCAGAAGGAATTTGGTTGCTATGGACGCAGATCTCTCCCAGAAGCTTCTGTTTGAAATTCAGTCAGGTAAGCACCAAGGCCAGGCTGACAGGGAACCCCCAAATGTGCCTTCAGGATGGATACAACCTCTTTGGCAAAGAGGAAACTTATTTATTGGTGGAGGGAATTCTGGCTCCATCTCTGTAGAACCCAGCAGGATGATTGCCCTGGAGGGTCCCAGGATAGGATAGGTGAATGGACAGGCCAGGACTGCAGCTATGTGGGAAGGGGCCTGTCATGGCTGAGAGCGCTCTGCGAGTTAGCCAGTCTCAATGTCCTCAGGGAGCTCCACCACCACTGGGGCACAGTCCTCAGGCTCCGTGGCAAAGTCCCACCGGAACTTCTTGGTCAGGTGAGCTTGAAACTTTTCAGCTTTCTTCCTTAGCGTGGCATCTACGGCAACACTGCAGGCGGAGGAAAAGAAAACCTACAGAGAATAGAGGATAAGTCACTCCTAGAACACAGAGGGGGCCAAGAAAGCTGTGGAAATTTCCTCATGGTGTTCAGCTCTCTGGGGCGGGTGGATCAGCTGCTACTGGCACAGGCCCAGGACACCTGCTATGCTCCCCTTAAACCAAGAAAGAAGATCCAAACCCTGCTGAGATACTGGAGCAGGATTAGAATGGAAAATAACTATCCTGGGCAGAGATGCCCCATGGACAGTAAGACCAGTGGGGGCCATCACCCTGGCCCTGCACCCTGGGGAATCTACTAGGGACCTGGGCAGTCACTCGGAGGAAGAGGTAGTAACTACACCGGCTGGTGCTAAGAAAGGCTTGGAGGGGCTTATGAGCCCCTGCATCCCATCAAGTCCCAGGCCCTAAGCCAATGAGGCTAAATTGCTCCTCTAATCTTCTAAATGGGCCATAGGCTGCCATGGCTGTCTTAAAAGCTGTCTTTGATATTCACTTTTTTTATATTATCATCTTTTAAAGTTGTGGTAGAATGTACATATTATTTACCACTTTAACAATTTTTAAGTGTTCAGTTTGGTGACATTAAGTCCATTCAAAATGTTGTACAACCACCACCACCAACCATCTTGAGAACATTTTCATCTTCCCCTACTGGAACTCTGTACCCATTAAACAGTAACCCCCCATACTCCCCTCTCTCTAGCCTTTGGCAACCACCATTCTACTTTCTGCCTCTATGAATTTGACTATTAAGATACCTAATAAGAGTGGAACCACACAGTATTTGTTCTTTTGTGACTGGACTGTTTCACTTTCATGTCTTCAAGGTTTATCCAAGTTGTAGCATGTATCAGAATTTCTTTCCTTTTTTAAAATTTATTTTATTTTATTTTTTTAGAAAAGATGACAGGTAAGGGGATCTTAACCCTTGACTTGGTGCTGTCAGCACCACGCTCACCCAGTGAGCTAACAAACCATCCCTATATGGGATCCGAACCCGTGGCCTTGGTGTTATCAGCAGCACCACATTCTCCCGAGTGAGCCGGCCCCAGAATTTCTTTCCTTTTTAAGACTGATTAATATTCCATTGTATGGACATACAGGTTGAGCATCCCTTATCTGAAATGCTTGGGACCAGAAGTGTTTCAGATTTCAGTTTTTAGATTTTGGAATATCATGGGAATGAGACCCAAGTCAACTGCAGCTAAAGGGGGCTGGGAGGGTCTTTTTTTCCTTGGGGACACTGACATGACTGTGTGTTGTGTGCCTGTGTTTTGAGTGCAACCCATCACATGAGGTCATGTTAAGTGCTCAAAGTTGCAGATTTTGGATTTTTGGATTAGGGATGCTCAACTTGTACCCATTTTGCTTATCCATTCATACATCCTTCACCATTTGGGTTTGCTTTGGACTGATGTCCCCCCAAAACTTAAGTCCCCACTGTGACAGGGTAAAGAGGGTGGGAAATCCTATTGTGGTAATTGAAAGGTGGGACCTTAGTGATTAAGAGGTGATTAAGTTGATGGTTTAAGGTGGCCGTGGGCACAGTCCTGAGGGCTTTAAAAGGAGAGCACATGAGGAGTTCCCTCTTTCTGCTCTAAAGCCATTGTCTGCCATGTGAGACCCTTGTATTACTATAAAGCCACCACCAAAAAGACCCTCACCAGATGTGTTCCCTGGATTTTGGACTTCCCAGCCTCTGAAACTGTAAGCAATAAATTTCATTTTCTTATAAATTACCCAGTTCCAGGTATTTTGTTATAAGCAACAGAAATGGACTAATATGGAAAATTGGTAACAGAGAAGTGGCGTGCTGCTTATAACAAATACTTGAAAATGTGGAAGTGGCTTTGGAATGGGGTGTTGAGGAGAGGCTGGAAGAATCTGAAGGAGCAGGCTAGAAAAAGCCTCACTGCTGGTGAAAGTTTAGAAACCAAGAAAACCAGGGAAAGTTTGGAACTTCTTAGAAACTGGTTAAGTGGTGGTGAGCAGAATGCTGACAGAAATATGGACAATAAAGGCCATTTTGAGAAGATCTCAGATGTAAATGAGAAGGGACTTACTGGAAACTGGGGCAAAGATCACCCTTGCTATCAACTGGCTAGGAACCTGGCCTCATTCTATTCATGCCCCAAAGTTTTATGGAATGTGGAACTTAAAGATGCTGAACCAGGGTATTTGGTAGAAGAAATTTCTAAGCAGCAAAGCATTCAGGAAGCTGTACTGCTACTTGTAATAGCCTATACTGAGTTATGGTGGTAAAGGCATGACATAAAGCCAGAATTTATAATTAAAAGGAAAGGAGAGCGTAAAGATTTGGAACATTTGGAGCCTGGCCATGTGGTAGAGAAGCAGAGAGCATTTTCAGGAGAACAATTCAATGGCGTAGCTCAGCAACTGTTTGCTAAGGAGATTAGTACAGAAGGAAAGGGATTATCAAGAGAAGGGAAAAAAGACCTTGAAGGCATTTCAGAGATCTTGGAGGCTGTGTCTTCCATTACAGGCCCAGGGGCCTAGGGAGACAGAATGGTCTTGGGAACAGGCCTGAGGAGCCCTCCTCAAGCTCATTGCCCAGGGTCACCTCAAGATGCTGCTTTGCACATCAGTACCCCAGCTGCTTTGGCTGCTCCAGCTTTGACTAAATTGGCCCCAGCTGTGGCTGGACCTGCAGCTTTGGAAAGTACAAGTTGGAAGCCTTGGCAGCATCCACATAGCGTTAAGTCTGCAGACTCGCAGAATGCCAGAGCTGTGGAGGCTTGGGAGCTTCCACCCCAATTTGAAAGGAAAAGCCTGGGGGCCCAGGAAGAGATCTGTCACAGTGGAGGATTCATCACAGACAGTCTTCACTAGAGCAATGCTGAAAAGTACAGGGTCAGAGTTGCAGCAGAGAAACCCCATCAGAGCTATGCCTAGTGGAGCCACAAGAGAGGGACCACCATGGAGACTTCAGACTTGCGGTGCTACCAGTGTGCAGCTCCAGCCTGCAAGAGCTGAAGCATAGCCTCAGACCAGGAAAGCCATAGAAGCAGAGCTGCCTGAGGACTTGGGGACCCAACCCTTGCACCAGTGTATGGAGGACATCAAACATGGAGTCAAGGTACATGATTCCCCAGCTCTGAAGTACAATGCCTGTCCTGCTGGAGTTCAGACTTGTTTGGGACCTATTTTACACTTTTCTTTTGGCCTACTTCTCCCTTTTTGAATGGGAATATGTACCCTATGCTTGTCCCACCATTGTATCTTGGAAGTAGATAACGGGTTTTGATTTCACAGATGGGACCCTGAGACTGTGGAATTTTGAGTTGAAATGAGACTTTGGGGCTATGGAGATGAAATGAATGTATTTGTATGTGAAAAAACATGAGTTTTGGGTGGTTAGTGGCAGAATGCTGTGGATTGATTTCCCTTCCAAAACTTTGTCCCCACTGTGACAGTATAGAGAGGGTGGGAAATCCTAATGTAGTAATTGGAAGGTGGGGCCTTGGTGATGAGGAGGTGATTAAGCTGATGGTTTAATGGTGGCCATGGGCATGGTTCTGAGGGCTTTAAAAGAAGAGTGCATGAGAAGCTCGGTTTCTCTGCTGTAAAGCCATTTTCTGTCATGTGAGACCCTGCATTGCTATAAAACCACAACCAAGAAGACCCTCACCAGATGCATCCCCTGGACTTTGGACTTCCCAGCCTCTGAAACTGTAAGCAATAAACTTTTTCTTATAAATCACTCAGTTCCAGGTACTTTGTTATAAGCAACAGAAATGGATGAATACAGAGTTCTTTCTACCTTTTGGCTATTATGAATAATGCTGCTATAAACATGGGTGTACAAAACTCTTAGCATCTCTGCTTTCAGTTCTTCAGGTATAGACACAGAAGTAGAACTGCTGGATCATATGGTAACTCTATGTTTAATTTTTTGAGGAGCTGCCACACTGTTTCAAAGCAGCTACACCATTTGAAATTCCCATCAGCAATGAACAAAGGTTCCAAGTTCTCCACATCCTTGCCAACACCCTTTTTTTTTTTTAATAATAGCCATTCTAATGGGTATGAGGTAGTATCTCATTGTAGTTTAGAACTGCATTTCCCTAAAGATTAGTGATGTTGAGCATCTTTTCATGTGCTATTGCCACTTATATATCTTCTCTGTTGAAATTTCTATTCAAGTCCTTTGCCCATTTTTTAATTTTTAAAAAATTTTTATTATTGTTGATGAGTTGTAGGAGTTCTCTATATATTCTAGATATTAATTCTGTATTTTGATATTCTTATGATTTCAGTTTCATGCAAAACAAACAAGGTTGGAGGGCAGAACATTTTCCACATCTGAAACCCCATTCCAGAATGTCTGGATCCTGATCCCTTCTAAGAATAACTGCAAACCTATTACTCCATCCTATACTATTTTACTGTTTTCAGAGAAGTTTCAGAGTACCCAACTGGATCCTCACAATGCCCTAGGAAGACACACTAGACTGACTACTTTAAGGAAATGGAGGCTGAGAGGAGTTACATGACTGGAACTAAATTATCCAAAAGGGAAGGAATGGTTTTTCCCAGACTGCCATCTGCTACCCTACAGGATTGCCCCACAGACATTGGAGCATGGGGCTGGCAGAAGCTCTTGGATCCACATCACCTTTGTGACACAGCTGGCCCTCAGACCTCCATGGAAGGATTCTAGGCTCTGGGGGACTTGACCTGACAAAGGCAACAGGCATCCACTGCAGCTAATTCTGGGCACAATACCCCTCCCACCTGCTTCTCTACTTTTTCTGTTAGCACTTTCAGTTGTTTGGAGCCATTCTGTTGGAGTGGCAGCAGTGGTAGCAGAGGCAGAAGGGATGGGGGCAAGGGGGAGTAAGGTACAAAACTTGGCTTCATTAACTTGGGAATCAGCAAAATACAGAAGTGGGAAGCACAGCCACAACAAAATGCCAGATCAATAAATAATTAGAGGAGCTGTGTGATTTCGGTGGTGAGAGGGCAGCAAGGAAGCCAGTGGTTGACCTGT